TAAAATCCCATAGGTAATAATATTTATTTCATGAGAGCTCTAAAAAAAAAAAGCAGCTTTCAATCTACAAACAAATTACAAATGAAATGGAAAAAAAAATACTCCCAGTTAAAATCAAGAGATATTGCTATCTTATTTAGAGAGTGGGAAAAGACAGTGTGTTGACCTATTTTGATATACTGCCTTCAGATTTAACATTAGTGTGTTATTTGAGGAAGGGGAGAGGCATAAAATGTTCTGATTTGTTTGTAGGTCTTAAAGATTGAGAGCTGCTTTTTTAAATAAAAAAAATTATTACCTATGGTATTTTAAGTGTGATATTCTTTAATTAATAATAATTTTGCTCTGTCTTTTGATATAGAGCTCTTGCCAGATCTATATCCTCCTGGAAATTCCATACTGATTACCATATTATATCATTATATATATATATATATATATATATATATATTGAAAGAAAATCAAATGATATACATTTGCTTTTAGTCTTAATTAATCAGATATGTATCTCAAAAAATAAGATATAGGTGATGTATGTTAATTTATATTGTTAGATTCTTTTACAGGTTCTATCAATTTTACTTCTGGTGTTTGGACCCTTTTAATATACCCTCACTATTTCTTTTGCTGAAACCTTTCCATTACATTGATAATTTTTTTTTATACAGTTGTATTTTTACATTATCCATTCCTGTGAGATAAATTATATATTAATTTATTTTAGTAAAAATATTAATTTTGAATTTACTTTAATTCCTCATTGTTAATTGCATGCCTATTGTTGCTATTAATATTTGGAACTGATTAATGCTAAACCTGCAGGTATAATTAAGTTGGATTTTTAAAAAAAAATAGTTTTTACAGTATGAAGTAAATTGTAATTTTCATCTAACCAGAAAGCTGATGCTAGAAATATTTCTTTAAAAATAATGATAGATCTCTGTGTGATATCTTTTAGTTCTTTGTTGGAAATTTCAATTCATATTGGCCTTTTAATATTTCACTCTTGTTTTGTTTTATTTTACTCATATTTTATTGGATTTCCAAATTGATCAGTTTGTTTTTGTGGATAATTATAATCTTAAGAATAACAATAATTAATTTTGGCATTTGTCATATCTTATAACTGTTTCATTCGGAACCTATTTTGCCATCTTCACTAATTTTTCAATGCATATATTTATGCATGTCTTGTAGATATTACAAATCTTGTAAGGGTTTAATAGAAAAAGACTTTTGCCCTGATCATTCATGACATTAAAATAACTTAAAGGCTTATAGTCCTATATTCTACATCTTTAAGCTATGCAAGAACATATCCAAGATTGCTTATGAAAGAAAACAATTAGTACTAATATTTTTATTTTCTGTAATCAAGTGAGATGAATTTTAGAGATGTTTTAATAGATGATCAATGCTAAAAAGGAAAGTATTTAAATTCTTAAGTTCAAAAACATTTGTGTCCCTCCCCCTGTCCCACTTTGCCATCAACTATTATTAAATCCCTAATTAAAATATTGTATTCTAGTAGTCAATGTTTAAAATAAAACTTAATACAATTGAAGTAACATATATAAGAAAAAAATTTAAAGTGCATTAATTAAAATTGACTCATTATACAACTACAACATACTTCCAATTTCTTAAGAGATAAACTCTTTATTTTATAAAATAAATTTAGCAAACTTGGACCTTCATGCCTGCAAAAAAAAAAAAAAAGTGTCAAAAGCACTGCTTTTCCATTGACATCACTATTATTTTAACTACCTTCCATCCTAGCCAGTGTTTGTTTGTTTTAAAAAGTGATGATTAGAATTGTAATAAAACCTAAACATATGATGACAGTGAATATATTTTGTTCTTGAGAATTTACAACAAAAATATTAAACACTACAGGATGCAATGTATAAATTGTCTAAATTGCACAAAAATGAAAATAACACTCATATCTCATTTTAAAAGATATATATTTACCAAAATTACACAAAAATATCTTAAAATACAAAAGAGTAAATTTATTCAATAAAATTGCCATTGGCTTCAACTATGTCCTCCAGACAACTTTGGAATCATCTGCAACTCTTCTGGTTGGTCTCCCTGTTTAAGTTGATGAATGCTGCCATAATCCTTGCCTTCACTTCATCTTTGGTATTACAAGGAGTTTTGTTGGTCTCTCACTCAACTGTACCCCACACATAGTAAATGAGGGTTGTAGTCTGGGGAATTAGGTGTAAGGGGTGATGTGGTGGTAGAAATTGTCTGACAGCTATGACTGGGTTCTCTTGCTTGTGTGGCATGGTGCAGAGTCCTGTTGCCGGACATTGGGGTTTTCCAGCAAAGACCCTCTTGACCCAGAACAGCACTACCTCTTCAAGGCACTTGATGTGGGCCTCCATGTGGAGTCTGAGGCCCTTACTAACAAATCTGGGAGTTCTTTTCTTATCAGAATGATCAGTGAGTTTTCCAAACTGCCATATCTTCATAATCATCAAGACTCATCCAACTCTTTCTAAATCCTCTGCATTGTCCTCAGATTGACACCCAAACACTCTGAAATGTTCGTATTGGTGCTTCTGGTGCGAATGCCAAACATTATAGTATGCCATCTCCAAACTTCTGGTGGATTGAATTGTGTCATGGTGCTCTTTTTTTCTTTTTTTTTTTCCACAGATGGTGCCCAACTGACACTACTATACTGTGCTGACAACAATAACAAATAACACACATGTGAGAGATTAAAAGTATAAAATGGCAACAATTTACCCATCACACCCTGTATTTATTTATTTATTAGATTATTATGATGTGAAAACAATTTTTTTATTCATAAAGTTTTAAACTTATACTAAATTATTAAAATATTGGAACCAATTATAATGAAATCCTTATTATTTATCATTTTCTAAAGATCAAATCAATTTGTAATTAGCAGATGTTTTGCCAACCATTCCCATAAACAATATAATAAATAGTGTTTATTATTTTTGTTGCCAATTCTCAAGAACAAAGAAAATGTATAAATTCACTTTCATATGTTTAGGTTTTATTACAATTCTAATCATGACTTTTTAAAACCATAAACATTGCCAAGGAGTAAAGGTAGTTAAAATAATAGTAGTGTCAATGAAATAAACTGTTCTTTTGACACTGTTGTTGTTGTTTTGTTTTGTTTTTTTTTTTTTTGTGGGCACAAATGTACAAGTTTGCCATAAGTCCTTATCCTTGTCAGTTTTACGTTAAGTTGTTTGAAAAGTAATATCACATTTAAAATATAAAATTTGAACCCAACAAACCTACTGTGAAATCAAGGTTAAATGGTAAACAATGAAACTTATAGTTAGCCTGAAAACAAATTGTTATTGGCCTCTCTAACTTTGGTGAAGCAACCAATCTAGAAGGACAACAACTCTGAATTGAAAACTCTGAAGAAGGTGGTGAAGAAACTACTCCATTACTTCTAAAGTCGTCATGACAACTCGGATTATAATGAAAATGAAGTTATGAAGAACTATGAGGCTTACATCCTGAAGGGATATGGCATTAAAAAAAAGAAATATATTCAACACCAGGAAAGAAAACTTTAATGAGTGTCATAGTATGCTGTATGAGTTTTATAAAGGAAATATTTGTGCTATATACCTATGTGCAGTGACTGTTGTTAAATGCTAGCAAATGTTTAGTAAGTTTAAAACACTGACTGATTTTTTCTGACCAACCATTTTGGATAATTGTTTGAAGATACCTGATGTAAATCCTTGTCAAAATAAAAGATGGAGTAAAAAAGCACAACATATAATGTTCAATTATCTGAATATGTCAAGGAAATTGAAAAAAATCCCACAGAATTTAATTTCACCATAAACTCTCTCTAGAGAAATGGGCACAACATTCAGCCATTTGCAACAGCCTGCTGAATAACAATTAAAACTTCCCTTTTACTGGGTTATCATAGATGAGAAATGGATACTGTACATTTAGAACAAATTGTAAAAGCAGTTGTTACCCAATGACAAACCAATCCCAACACTAGAATTATGATAGCCACAGAATATTTTGATAAGCATCTGGTGAAACCTGACAATTATCCACTTCAAAATAACTTGGATTCTGGAGAAACCATCACAAGCTCTTCTCAACAATTTTGACATGTCAATAATGCATTAAAATGGAAATGTAGAGATTTGAATAGTGTCAATCTCCAGTATTACAGTGCAACATCAAACTTAGAAAAATAGTCAGTGGGCTGGGAAATTTGTTCTGTACTTATCTTACCTAGCAGTTTCCAGTTAGGATTTGCTCCAATTGCTTGAACATTTTCTTAGTGCCAGGATATTCAAAAATAAGGAAGATGTTAATTCAATAATTTGCTTGAATTTCTGGGATGAAGAATTAAAATTATTTACATTCAGATTATTGTCCTCATCTTGTTATTACAATCCCTGAGCTGGATAGATCAGACTTAGACTCAGTGGAAACAGGTGAGCAGTACTATATAAGAACTAGACACGATATCCCTAAACATGGTTATCAGAATGAGAACAATCTATTCTTGAAGATTAGAATTCAGCTTGAAATTCCTTGGAGGCTACTTGGACCATCAGACACTTGAAAAAAGGTCAAAGGATTAATGGCTGAAATGTGATAAAGAGGAGGACAAAAATCAGAATGTAAATAATGCTAAGTCAAATTTTATAAAAAAAAAAAATCTTATTGATGGGAAATAGAAAAATGACTTCAATGATGAAAACTGATGAGTAAAATATCTTTGCATCCATGTTTTTTATCACCTTGAATATGTGATATTACTTTTCAACCAGCTTAATATTTTCATTTTAGAGGTGACCACCTGTACATAATCAACAGCCTCAAGAATTATTTGAAGTTTTTACCTGCAAAATAAAACAATTGCAATTTTGAAATTACTTTTTAATTAGCAATTTTATTGATTTTTTTTTTTTTTTATAATGCAAATCATATCTTGTTTTTTTTTTCTCTTTCAGACGGCCAGAAGGATCCGAAGCTAGGCCAACACATCTTGAAGAGAAAATGTCCAGAAACCCTGACCACATTGGTGGCTACCGCCTTGCTTTGGCAACCTTTGATGGTCTTGAATCTAAATTTGGATTATGTCTTCCAAAATTCAAAGCACCAGTTATTCCTTCCTCCTCTTCTGCTGTTCATGTCGTTGTTACTCCAGCAGCTCAGTAAATTGTAGGTGAATGATTTGCAATGCTGGGTATAAGTAGATAATTGCTATATCATGTTAACTTTATATTATATACACTGTAATATAATGCTGTGTACAGAAAGCATGAAATCTAATGGGAAAAAATCAAAGGCCAAGGAAAAGTGTTAACAAAAAAATACATTATTTTTTTTTTTTTTTTTTTTATAAAAGGAGAAAATAAAAATTATATTAAAAAATAATCTGTAAATGGAAAAACTTTTCTTCAAAGGAAAGTAGAAAAAAGCCCCATAGATCTTTTTTTTTTTTTATATATATATAATTTTTTGAAAGAATACAGTTACTGCCTGCCAACTAATTTAAGTTTCCATTGAGTGAATTGAAATCTCGATGTTTTTGTTGCAATATTTTTAGCATAAATTATTTACTTATTGATATTTTTAATATAAACTATTACTTATATTCTTTAATTAAAACAGAATTGCAAACAAAAACTATTACTAGAGGCCAAAAGTTTTCCAAAATAACTGTGGAATGCTATTCTGCTCTTCAGATCATTTCTCTTATTTAATACTTTCCTTTATGGCCATTTTTTTGACCATATTGTTAAGACACTCTTCTAGAGATGTAGACCCCCAACATCAACCATGTTTTTGAATCTCACTGGAGCCAATTTTATTGTTTGACTCCCAAATATTTTATATATCCGTTTAAGGATTTATTTTGCTAATCAATTTCACTCCCTCTTAATTAAGTTAACTGAATACTGCACTTTTTGTCTACCAATTAGACCTGAAGGTAAGGCACCTATGTAAAGTATGTTGTCTGCTCTCTGGGGAAATTATTAACCAACATAGCTGAAAATTAATTTCTGGCAGTGGCAGGCTCTGTCCCTCAGTATTCAGAAATGTTATTGACTGTAAACATTCTCTATCTTATACAAGTTTACTACTTTGCTTATATTTGAAATTAATTTAAAAGACATTTGAAAACTTTTTTACTTTGTCTTAAATTGAGGGAGGCTTTTCATATTTTATAAGTTTTTATTTTTTGTGGGTATATGTGTGTGAAAGAGACAGTGAAATTGGGTTAAAATAAAGTTTTTTTATACAAAAAGGACAATTTTTATTTTTCTTCAGAAATACCAAAATCTTTTATGAACTCTTTCTTTCCAAAAAGAAAAGAAAAAAGTTATTTTTTAACCCTTTGTACCCAAAGAGCACATTCAGCTGAATAATCCATTATCTTTTTATAATGTATAAAAGGTATTGAAATCAGAACTGGCTCCATTTCAATATTTTTTTTAAATTTTATCTTTAAATTATTTGATAGGATCTGATAAACTTGAATCTCTTTGTTGTGTAGCATGAAATATTCTTGGGTACAGTTGGTTAAATTAAATCCTTCAATCAAGAATATCTTAATTTTTTTATGTTATCCTTTTAAATTTCTTTTCCAGTTTAATGCTTTTCATGTATCTTTTTCATAGTGATTATCTGACAGCATTTTTTATCTTTTTGTTTTTTGTCTTCTACAAGAGATTAGATATTGCATATTTTACTTTTACCTTCAAAGTTCATAACTGATCTCAAAGATAATATTACTCATTCTACACTGTAAAGTTATTATTTTCTAGCTCATTCTTTAACACTTTTAATGTATTTTATTCTTGCTTTTATTTTCATTTAAATAACATTTTTGGTATCAAAATAAATGCATAGCATTAACTAGTATATAAATGCAAAGATTAGTTAATTATATTCTAATAGTAAAATTATAGCATCTATATTCTGTTCTGCTTGCACTATTTGAAAATATATACATGATTCTCTTAATTGCCTACATTTTTGTGTTTACTTTTTTTGTGTTTATCTTGTGTAGTTATTTATAATTAGAATTAAATCATCTTCTTTTAAGTCAGATATAGTAAGTATGTCATTTTAAAATTTTGTGAGAGCTTTACTCTGAAGAAGTCATTGAGGTGAATAATTACATCCTTCCTTTTATGTTTATAATTGCATAATACTTGCAGAAATTCTCATCTCCTTCCAATATTCGTACAAACCTTTATTCAATTGCATTTTATTTATATTTATAGCTTTCATTTTTTTCCAATTTTTATTGTTCTATATTTTAAATTAGATGATTAAATTTGTTTTTTTTTTTCCTCATTCTTTTTAGTAAGTTTAAAAGAAATTTTGTCAGTTATAAATATAGTCATCAAATTCCTGATTTTAAGATAAGTTGTTAGTCAAAATTTTTTTTTTTTTAATTTTTTTTTAAAAACTTTTCTGGAGTAATGTTGTCCTTGTCTGAAAAACTGCAAAAAAGATGGGCAGAATATTTTAGAATTTCTAAAATTCCATAGCAAAAATCAGCATAATTTTAAGGAGAAAAAAATGTTACATTTTATTTATATATATATATATATATATATATATATATAAAATGTATGTTTGTTGCTTCCTTAAATTTTGCTATTTATAATGTGGTTCTGCTTAGAAGAAAATATATTTAAGTTTCCCCAAACAAAAATATCTTTAAAGAGAGATTTTTTTTTTTATTTGGACAGAAATGCAAAGGCATTTAAATGCTAATAGGTTTTTCAAATTTTAAATATGGAAAGACTGGAGATTTGTCTATTTTGATAAAAGTTTAGCACAATTTTTTTGTTGATGGAAAACTTTGACTTCAAGATTAAACTTGATAAATCTTTCTTGATCATCATTCTTTTGTAAAATTTCTGCATACACAATCAAATAAAATATATGATCACCATATTGTTAATGGTGTTCCAGCTATGAATAAAACTTCAGGGTATAGCATAGACTATTGGCCAGAGCTTGAATTCAGCTAATGGTTCTATTTCTGATACCAAATCATCATCATATATATATATATATATATATATATATATGTTCATGGGGGTAAAAAAAAAAATATATTACTAAAATTTGCTTTAATTGTATCATTTTCTGCTGTGCATGCTTCAAGTCAGAATAAGCATCTTGTATACAAGGTGCAACAAAAATACCTCCCGCATAATAAGACATTAGTGGCAATAGTGTCTTCGTTTAGCCTAATAGGCTTCTAGCCATATCACATTGAAAGACTGGTTCCTTTAGTATCACTGAAGTTAAGCAATGTTGAACCTGGTCAGTACCTAGATAAGCAAATGCTTGGGAATACCAGGTAAGCTTGGATGTGAAGGTTGTGTAATGGATAATGGCTTGGAATTGTTAATCAGAGAGTCAACTTCCAATTCCAGTTGTGTTCATTATATTCACTTACATGCAAATACCTTTGGGACGGGCATGAATCCACCTACCCTGGTATTTCTGTCAATCCTGTATAAATAAACTGGAACAGTTCTAACTATAGTATATCTGAAATAGATCACTTGTTCTTAAATAGTTGACCATTTCATTTATTTTAAGTAAATGGCTTAAACAGATTTTAAATGAATCTGCCACTTTCTCACAAAAGAAAAAGCCTTCTTTGCAAACAAACAATAAATGCACATTCTAAATGTTCTTTTTATATTAGAAATATAACATCAAAATCTTTAATGGTAAGATCAAGTTATCTCTGCACAGACATTACTGAGAGAATGTAATTTATTTTGCACAGACTAATAGGACAGTTAATAAGCATTTCTTAATGTACATTCAGAAATGCTTGTCATTAAATTTCTTTCATAAAATAAAATGTCCAAGTGCATTTATATCTGTTTAAAATTCTTTTGACATTTACATTTCTAATAATTTTTGTTGTGCCCTCCAGCCTTCTTTGGGTGTCTCTTGAGCCATGTAACCTTCAGGGAATTTTGAACTGTACCTTTTATTTACTTTATGGGGGATATACTGTCCTCATTCCACTGTCCATGTCTAAGGATATCTTGTTCTTATTTAATACTGCTCAGTTATTGTTTGCCCTGATTTCACTGAGTCTAATTCCTGTTAGATATTTTTGGTTTTTAATAAAATAACTCTTCTAATATTATTTTATTCAATAACTGAGGATTTATTTTATTTTTAATTTTAGAAAATTACCAAAAGAGAGTACCCAAAAATAATTTACTAAATTTATACAAGTATATTATAAAAGTGATTTCTTAAGCTCAATTTTATGATTTGATATACATGAAATATTTAACAACATAGACTCAACATTTTTGATAGTTTTTAAAGAAGGAAACTTGTATTTATATTTTTTAATAATCTAAATCTTTTCTATTTTAACATTTTTAACCTGTAAAGTTTTGTTCTTGACTTCATATATTATTTCTTATTTTTTAACCAAACTTAAAAAATTTTTGTCTTGAATCTGTGATTTCTTTCTTTATATTTGCAATTTTTTTTTAATTCATTTATTTGAAATGATTAACATCCTTTAAAAGCATGTACATTTGATTAGTTTAGAAGCTGCCATTGTGACCTTTTTTTTTTTTTTTTTTAAGTGGTTTGCTTTTATTACTGTATATAAACACTCAATCAACAAAGGACAAGAATGTAGACCATTCATTACTTTTTTAAATTTAGGCTTTTTGTCTTGCATAATTTATACTCCTTTTTACTAATTCCAACATAACACCACAAGTGAAGTACTCAGCAAGTATCAAATGCACTACAGAATGACTTTTAAGACCATGTGCTAACTGCTAAACCCAAGATTAATTAATGCTTTTTAGGACTTAGTTGTACAGTTTTAGATGGAAAATACTAAACTTATCTTTTCATTACACTTAATGGAATTTACAACTATTTTGTTACCTTTTAATGATAATCACAAGTATGGCAGTTTATGTACCTGTTTAATAAAATATCCAAATCTGTTTAATTTTTCAATCATTTTTTGTTAATATTTATAAATTTACAAATTTTATTTACTTTTTTGTTGTAACTAAAACACTATACTTTGTTAATCTGCAAAAGTATTGCCCACGGGAACAAAACTTGCAATTATATTTGAGACTGTTTACAATTTTAAAATTGGAAACTGGTTGGTTTATATGATTTGATAT